GTGGAGAAAGTGAATCAGGGACAGTTATTTACTTGTTCCCGTAACACAAGACCTAGGGGTCACCTAACTAATGAATAGGTAGCACATTTCAAACAAACCAAAGGACGTTTCACTTCCCGCAGCGCACAGTTAACCTGTGGAACTCCTCGCCAGAGGATGTTGGGAAGACCAGGACTTTAACAGGGTTCAAAAAAGAGCTAGATACATTCATGGAGGTTTGGTCCATCAATGGCTGATAGCCAGCATGGGTAGGAAAGTGTCCCTGGACTCGGTTTGTCTGGAAAGGGATGACAGGGGAGGGATCACTGGATGATTCCCTGCTCTGTTCCCTCTCTCTGGGCACCTGGCATTGGCTGCTGTCGGCAGACAGGACCCTGGTCTGGATGGGCCTTTGGTCTGACCCCGTCTGGCCCCTCTTATGACCTACACAAACCCTCGATCCCATTCAAAGCGGGTTTACACGTGGGATGCCCATCAGTCAGGGCTTGTCTCCCCAGGGACGCTGCCCAGCGAAGCTGCGTTCTCACACCGGTGTGGCTGCATGAGGGTAACTCGCCACGAGGACAGGCCCGTCCGGGATAAGAGTGACCTTGTTTCCTGTTACTTACTCCCAAGTAATTATTCGCGGTTGCAGCCGCGCCGGTCCCAGGATATTAGCCACAGAACAGGTGAGACAACACCCTTTATTGGGCCAACGTCTGGCGTGTGTGTTAACAGGTTAGGTTAGCCATTCCCCCTTGTACGCCGAGCGGTGGCACTCGGAATACTCCCCCAGCCCCGAGGGCTCGCTCTAGCTCCAGAGCGCGTCTCCCACCAGGAGACGTCATCCAGTAACAGCTGTCCCCTCGATTAACCTTGTCTCTCTGCCCTCCGGCATCACGTCATTTCTATACCAGGATAACGCGCCCACTCCGGCAGCGCTCCCGGCACGGCGGTGGCCCGGTAACTATTCCGTTATCTCCCCATGCAGACGCGCCCTCGGCAAAGCAGCTGAGTAAGACACGTTGTTGTGCACTGGATTACAAGCATCTACTCCGGAGCGTGCACCTGTTTACGGCCCAGCAACCTCCCCAAGGAGCAGCGACAGCCTTCGGCCATGGGGGTTAGGCACCGCGACACACGCCGCTGCCTCTCCGTGGGGCCGAGGCAGGCCCTGGGGGCAGGGGGCCACAGTGACCAACGCCTGGGACTGACCGGTGACCTCCCCAACCCAAGCCGAAGGGCCAGGCCTGGCAGCCGGGGCTCTGACGTCCCTTCAGGAACCGGCACCGAGAGGAACATGGCTCTCATGCCGGCCAGTGGCTCAGTGGCTGGCGGCGGCAGGGGGAAGCCAGGTCCAGCCCGCCCTCACCTGTATCCTGGGGTCCAGCTCTTCCTCCACATCCTCCTCATCCCTCGGGGGCACCTTGGCTTGCTCACCATCGCAGAAGTCCTCAGGGACAGGCGTTCTGAGCTCTTCCCCCTCCTCCGTGGGCGTCCGCAGCTCCCCCGGGGGCGTCTGCCCCCCCTCCCCTGGGCTCATGCCCAGAACCAGCCGCTGGTCTGAGTCCTCCATGGCGGGGCCCCCCC